TGTGTAAAACTTATGTTGAGATTTCTCTTCTGATATGCTTTTGACTGCATTTCGTTCCAATGTTTAAAAAGCTTGTCAGACAACCATAACTCAGGGTAAAGCTAAGTTGTAAACCAACCCTGAAGGCTCTGAGGACTGCTAACGGGTCATCAGCCGTGAGTCTCTGAAGCAGAGCCGGCCAGCAGCGATGAGCCATGGGCAGCAACTCGTCTTCCCTCTCACTCAGCACGTACACACACAGCTCCAGCACATCCAGAACCTTTTGAAGGAGGACAGAGTAAACAACAGTCAGAAATATTATGACCACGCACAGGTATGGTTTATCCCTGAATACTAGATTTAAGAGACCAAGAAGTGGTATTTTGACCTTATCTGACATCTTATTTTGATTTCGTCCTATAAGGTAGGAGAGTGTTCATCAAAGTCTGCTGAGTTTCAGCTAGAGTTGGGCAATAACACGTATCTGCAGATTTCAGGAAGTCAAATTTAAGACTAAGACCTTTTAAAAATGTAATAAAATAAATTTGATAAAATTTAAGACTGGAAAACTACAAATATAAAGAATGATTGGAAGGATTCTGCTGTATTACAATCAAGCATTGCAAAAACTGTGAAATGTCTGGGGTATGTTGGTGGCTCTTGGGAGCAGTTTTTGTGCTTCTCATCCTGCATGTGGCTCTCTTCTGCCTCACCAAACATTGCTTATGTAGCAGAATGCGCCTAGCCTCGTATGGGTTTGCAACAGAAGTGAGACAGTGGCGAAAATGAACATCGTCCATCCAACTGGTGATAACTCTTCACTTAACAATGACGGACGCAAAAAAGCTAGCAAGCTAGCAGCTACTTTACCAACAGTCTCTGCTGCATCATTGATGATGTAAGTAATCAAACCGTTGCCTGACAGAAAAGTGAGCAAACTACATATACAAAAATTGAATAGGGCTGCTAGTGACAAAATTAACATATTTAAGGCCAACTTATGCTTTTTGTAAATTTAAGAAATTTTAAGGTATTCATTTTAGATACATAAATTTAGAACTCTTAAAAAACATTTTCAAAATGAGGAGTGTTCAATAATTTCACTGACCTCAGATCCAGAACCGCATGGCATTCTGGGGGATGTAGGCAGAGAAAAGGCCTCTCACAGCTAGATACACTAGGTTGGTAGCATCAGCTAACTCACTTATACTTTGGTTGCCTAGCAACATCCTGCTGAGTAGTTTCATGTTTCGCCACTCAGCCTCATAACTGCTTAAAAATAAAAAACTGTATAAACTGTGGATAAAACAGGAAAGGTCACGTCACCAGTACTTCAGATATTTAAAACTAGTAAATAATTATCTATATTGACCAATATGAAAAGTTTCCATTGTGATACATTTGTCAGCCATATCGTCCAGCCCTAGATTTAGCTGTAATACTGATCACATGGATTAATACCGCCATCTGGACATGTCCTGTTGGTCTACTCACCATAGTACAGAGAGTGATCTCTACCTTCATTTGAGACCTACTTTTTCCTAATCGAGAGAAATCTAAATCTACAGGGCCTTGCTGGAGATTTTATATGATATAATAACAAAATGCAGTACATAAATGTTAAGTCGAAGGAAACTGATATATGCTCTGGAGGATTGGACTTTTCTTCTACAGCTAGCCTGTCACCTTGAGCCGGAGTCTGAGGCTGGGGTCAGACAGCAGGTGGATGCAGCGCTCCATGACATCTTTAGCGATACTGAGGTGTGGTGGGAGTTGTGCCTTCACATCGGGTCCATCATCAGCTTCCTTACACTCTGCAGGAGGCAGCACCTCTGGAAGGACAGTTAGCTTTAGCTGTAATTAGCTTCCTGGTTGAGTCCTGCCTCTTTAACTTAAATTCATTTATATAAACCACATGTCAAACTCAAAGCTCTGGCCTGCCATAACGTTTTATGAATAGAACCTTAACGATGTCAGTTTGTACTTGGTAATGCCTAAATATTACCAAGGTCCTCCATCTCATCTGCTTCAATCCCAATGCCCTCTGCCAACTCCTTCTGCTTTTGGTAATCCAGCAGGAACTGGCAGATGTCAAAATCTTCCAGTTCAGCAGAAATCCTAGAACTGGGAGGCTTACTGGTCCTACAGCATGACGGAGGGAACCAGCTGGCTAAAAGAGGAAAAATGACATTACTATTAATTCAACAACAGAAGATTTCTTCACAAAATGACAACTAAGAAATGGTCTGCATGGCACAGAACAGCAGCGGTAGGTAAAATATGGACTGGCCTAACCAGTGGGTTTGCGTCAAATAAATAAGCCATACGTAAATGAATTGGATTAATTGTGATGAATCGATTACTGAAATAATCAACTAATTTAGTAATAGAATAATTAGTATCTATAGAGCGTCTAAAAACGGTCATTTTTTAAAAGAACATAGTCAGAGCAATAATTAAGCCAAAACTGTACATAAAATATGAGAATTTTCATTTAAGATAAAAAAAAATTAACTTTTTTTGTAAATATGTTCTACCCACAACTCGTCAAGCTGCAGTTCTAGCTTCACCTGGTTCAAAACAATCTCCTATTAAGGACATTTATTAAATAGTTAAACCAAAAAACAGCCAACAGATCAATCACAGTTTTGTTAGAAATATGTTTCAGCTGCATCCTTTGCTATAAATGATCAAGTGTTCACTAAATGGATGTGTTATTGTATTTTAGGCACAATTTAAAAAAGGAATTTAATAATTTGTTTATTTGCATCTTTTAATGTATTGCCAATATTGAACAAAAAGGCTTAAATACTGAAGTATTTAAAGCAATGTTGAAGGGAATCGTGAATTGAAAGTGAATTGAATTGTGAAGTTCTTAAAACCTAGCAATACAGAAGAGTATGATGTAATGAGCTAGTACCTCCTTACCCAGTGCCTTCATGAGCGCGTGCAGCACAGAGCCAAACAGAGCAGCTGACTGGTCATAGCTGAGATCCAGAGCCATCAGCACATCCTGTATGATGTCACCGACCAGAGGCAACAGGCTGCAGTCAGAGTGAGCCAGCATCACCGTTAACACCCGCGGAGCCTGGTTGGGAAAATGGCATCACAAGGTTAGAAACGGCTGAACTGATGCTTGATAATTGTTCTCCTCTGAATCTGTACCTGTGGGTGTTGACCAAGCCTCTGCAGGTTCACTGAGACGTCGTTGAGCAGGTAGTCCGAGTTGTCTCTGATCATCTCCTTCAGGGAGGCGTAACCACAGGCCGCGCCCACCGTTGTCATGGCACCCAGCGCCGCCTGGCTAACCAGCAGCGACTCGTCGCTGGCCTTCTCCAGAAGCGGGTAGAGCGCCGTCATCAACAGCGGGCGGAAGTCACGCCGCAGCGCCTGGGCGAAGCGGGCCACGCCCTCCAGCTGGACGCACAGCTGCCAGATGTTGCCCTTCAGCTGGTGGATGGTGGATGTAGGCGGTGAGGTCAAAGGGCAGGCGGATGAAGAAGGAACTGCTTGATGGAGAGGATTTGAAGTGTTCCTGATGATGTCACTGCAGGAGATGGACTGGAGACTGAAAGGACTCAGCAGCTGAAAACAATGACAAGTTGGCCTGTCACGATGAATGATGCTGGACAATACATCGATTTCTCCAGAACCATCAGTAAACACATTCAGCTTGAAGTTCTTCTGGTCAGTAATTATTGCAAGTGAAGTGCTGAAAACTACTCTGAAAACTTTGGTTCATTCTGTCCTTCTTTCTTTCCTTTTTTGTAGCTGAATAAGAAACTAACTGCGTAAATAACAGAATTTAGAAACAGCTGATATTATCAGGTTTTTTTTTGCTGGAAGCCTCACCTGCTGATCCTGACGGTCTGGGTCCGACTCCTCGCTCACAGTCTTCAGGTGCCAGTTGCTCAGGCTGATGTATTCCTCCATGATAGACACCACCGCTGCTTTCAGGTCTTCCTTGGAGGCAGAGGGAGCCGGGCAGTCCCCACCGTCCAAACATCTGGCTGGCGCTGCCACCGAGACGCCGGCGGCACCGCCCACCAGCTCGTTTAGGACCATGGCGGCCTGCTTCCTGTATGCACAGGACTGACGATACAAGTCCAACAGGTGGTCGGTGAGAAGGTAGATGTTGCCGTAGTAACCTGGAAAATAAAAAGTAGATGAAGTATAGCTAAAAGATGTCAGGACTGTGGTAAATTGTTGCATAGTGCATCTTTGTGGCTTTTGTTCTGGGTTTTTCATTTATTATTGACGTTTTCTCTTCACCAGACAGAAAGAAGAATTACACCAAGGAACCAGAAGTTACTGTGGAGTTTATCTAATTTTTATGGGTCTAAAATACACCTACAGGCTAAAATAAGTTTCATTTAAGTTTCGTTTGTTTTTGCTGAAAGTGCTGCATAAATAAAGTAGGACTTAGCTGAACTTAATCTTTTAATCTGGTCCTAAAACGTCGAGGCCTCCTGGTTTCATATTAGTGATCAAAACTGATTACATATGGCCGTTGATCGATTAAATTGATCAACACTCAGTAGAATTACTAATAAAGTCGTAGTAATACAAGAATAAAATCGTAACATAATATGGCTTTATTCTCAAATTATTTCGACATTATTCTTGTACGACTTTACTGTTGTAGTATTATGACTTTATTCTTGTAATTTGATTATTTATTCTCATATTATATATATTTTTTATATTACTCTGTCGTATAATAGCACCTAATGTTTGGCAGATTTCCATGAGCACACAGTAGATCTTGTCGTCGGTGAAGAACAGGAAGTGCTTCCTCTGAGTGTGAGCGCTGTAGGAGTGGTGTGAGCCGGAGCTGCTCTCTATGGGATCAGTGGAGCTCCGCTCCTCCACAATACCAACATCCATCACATCCAGCTCCAGCACCTGCACACACATTTTAACAGTCATTTAGGATAAACCCAGACTTCACTAGCAAAAGACCAGAAAGTCCATCAGAGCTCATGTAATGACCAATTTTATCTCCAGACTTTGGGCTATTCCAAAACCTTCATTTTGGTTTATTAAGATGGTGAGCTCAAAAAGCAGAACAACGATGCAGAAACCTTCTAAAAAAATCTAATTTTGTCTCGTGAATCCACAAAATATACATTCCTAAAAGTTTTGTAGATCATCAGCATGTGTTTGTTTTTGGCCAGCAGTTGTTTTTACCTTGAAACTGGAGGCCATTTTGCTCCAGTGTCTTTCTTATTAAGTTTAATCATTTAATGAGTTTTTCCTCTTAATAAATGAAATCATCATTTGAAAATGGCTGTTTGTGTTTGTTTAACATAAGCATTTATTTGATGGTGTGAAGCATTTAAAACTGAGAGAAAATGGTGAAGGTTTTTTAACACTTTGCTCATTCATTTTTTCAACAAGTCTGCTTTATTTCCATCTGCATTCATTCAAAAATTAACAAAAATAAAATGATACATGGACTTCAAATGCATCTATATAGAAAAATATGGAAATAGAAAAATAGAGATCATGTGACTTTCACCATCTCATTGTTCTTATGATGTTAGTTATACAGAGAGTCTTTTAAATTGTCATCCACATATAGATTTGAACCATTCTGTCTTTAAATAGAGGGAATTTGACGTTTGCGTCCTTTATTGAAGCTCAGGACGAGATCACTGCCTTGTGGCAAATTCTCCCAGATAAAAGCATTTTCCTCCAATTCATCCCCTCTGAGCAATAGATTTATTCACATGTAATCGGGCTATGGAAAAATCTTCCATCTCAGTTTCAGTCCAAATGATCACAGAAATAATCCATTCAACAACAACAGACATAATTAATTAAACGCTTTCCATTTTGGACATTCAGGCTACTCTTATTTTATTGTTCCAATGCAATAAATGCAACATGTTTCCAAAACTAAATGAGTAATCATTAAATAATCAAGCTTTCAATACTTATGATTTTCTGTAAATGAGCAAACCTGCAAAGTTGATTAAAAATACCAAATCTGATGCAGCTGAGAGGGAATAAAATCAAACTGGAATGTTGTAAAATCTAAAATAAAATTTCAGGAAAAGCAACTCGAAAGCAAAGAAACAACATGAACACAGTTACTGATTGATATTTTCATCACAGCTACACACAGAAAACAGATTTTAAGCTAAACATGTGAAACATTTAGCATAAATGAAATTCTTGAAAAGGTCATTGTGGAATATTAATTAATAGTCCTACCACAACTAGATTTAAGACCTGTGATTAGCATATTTAAAGATAATTTACATTTTGTCTTATTTATTATAAGGCCTTAATTTTAAGTACATGAATTTAAGACATTTTAAGAATGGGGGGGACACCCAGGACTGGAGTGGAAAGACTTGGGACTTATTTGTGACTTGCAAAACAACAACTTGGTCCGACCAATTAGAAAATGGGCTGTGAGAGAATGAGGGAGATGTTCGCCAAAGGTCTTAGGGTTTGGGAACCGAACCCAAGACTTCCCCCATGCACCACTTCCACATATTCCGTCTTTATAAGTTCAATTCTGAAGAGTATCAAAATACTAAACCACATTGTTACCTGCATTAACGCTTTAGAGATCCTGTCCAGATGTGCAGCAGAGTTTAGCACCACAGAGAGAAGTGGTCCCAGGACTTTCAGGTAACCAAGGAACACATTGAGGACAAACAGCTTCTTCTGGTCATCAGCAGTCCTCATCAGCCGGGGGAGGGAGGTGGCTAACGAGTGGAGGTTCTCAGACAGGACGTCAGTCAGGTTCTTACTGCTAGTGGCGCTTTGACTCCTCTGGGATGCGTCTCTCAGAGCAACCTCACACCTGAACAACAAGGCATCGGGCTCCAGTTGGGTCATTCTCATTCTTTTTCCAGTAAAAAAACAACAACAAACCTCTGTCTGACTCTGGGGTCTTTGTCGTTGATCACTCCCACCAGAGCTTCCAGCAGTGGACCCAGGCACTCTTTCAGCGACTGACCGCACGCTGCCAGCAGACGGTCGCCCAGCTCCACCGTCTCCAGCCTCACCCTCCAGTGCTGGTGGGTGGAGCAGCAGGAGATGATCCTTCTCAGCAGCACACACAGCTTCCCTGCCGTCACCTTCACCCAGTCCGCCGTCCGCTGCACCACCAGCTGGCCGATCCTCCCCAGCTCCGAGGACATGGTGCTGCAGGACTCACTGTGCTGCAGCTGGGCGTCCTCCATGACCAGAACCACACAACCGGACCACACCTGAACCAGAGCAGGAATTTTATTTTCCTACGGTGCAAACGGTATTCATGACCCTTCAACTTATCACTGTTTGTTTTACTATTTTCAATGTACATTCTAGTGATTTTATGTGACAGAGCAGCACACAGTACACAGACATATACAATTACTTGCTTAATTGTCAGAATAATCGATTAAAATAAGTGTTAACTGCAGCGCTACTTTGTGTTAGTTTATGTCATGAAATCCAAGTCAAATCCATTGAAGTTTGCACTGTAACATGATACATTGTGAATGAGGTTTAGGGCTGTAACTAACCATTATTTTAGGAATGACTTATTCTATTGATTATTCTGACAATTAACCCTTGTCCATGCGAGGACTGAGGCAAACATAGAGGACTGAGGCAAATGATACGTTTTACGTGTTTTCGGTTGGACCCCATTTGTAGACACAAGGGTTAAAGAAATGACAAAAATGAACACATTCTCCAGGTTTTTATTGAGCCACCTACAGCTTTTTATACAATATTAGAAATACAAAGGACAATGAACCAACAGTTCATCGTCTTAATATAATGTTTAATTTTTAAGTAAATTAAACATTGTATTGCCTAAAATCAAATAACATGTCATTCTTTTAATGAATGCTTAATCATTTGTAGCAAAGAATGCATCTGCAGATATAAAACATTTTTAACATCAACATGTTATTGATCAGAAAAGAGATTCTCTGAATGTTTTAGAGAATTTGAATCTATGTCACTTGAGGAGTTCTGGGTAAAACCGATTTACAATAAAGAAGGTTTTTCATCTAAAAAGAAAAAATGTATATATGTATCTTTCATGATCATTTTTTACTCCTTATACTGCAGCTACCGATTACTAAATTAGTTGATGATTACTTCACTAATAAATTAATCGCAATTCATTCGATTAATTGTTTCTGCACTAATACGGTTGAGCAGGGATCAATACCAGCGCTGCACACCAGTTACTGTTGGTGTCTTTCATAAACAACCAACATTGTTGACATCATCTGTCTTAAATTCAAGAAAAGAAATCCATTTTAACAGATATGTTTGAATTAACTGATGCAAGCTCATGTGAGGTGTGCAGAAAACTGCAGCTCATCATGCTAAAAATAGGGAAGAGATTCATGTTATTTTGAAGAAAACTGAAGTGTTTTTACCTGGATGGCCCTGACAGTAACCGCATGGCCTTGCCTCAGATCTCCAGTGATGATCCTCGCTGCAGCCGAAGTGATCCCAGGTAAGAAAGAAGCCATGGTCCTGCCTACAGAACATCGCTCATCCCATGATGGAGCAACATGCTGCTGGTTGCAGTCGCAATGCAGAATCAAAGACTGGAGGCACTTCAAGGCCGCCGTCTGAATCTCTCTGGATTTGTCCTTCTCTCCTAAAGCCAATAGCAGCGACACAGCAGCACCCAGTCCAGGCAGCATCGAGGGTTCGTACAGTCTGAACAGTATGTCGCCATAAGCGGCGTGGAGCAGAGCATCCAGGCACCGCAGCACGGCGGATTTCAGCTCCTCTGATGTACCTGCAGGTTGGCCTGGGTTTGTGGGGGAGCAGAGGCAGACGCAGAGCTCAGAGAAGACGTCACGCAGCGTGTCCCAGCTCCGGACACAAGTCCTCTCCAGAACATAGGTCACTGCCTCAGCCACAGACTGCACCAGCTTTTCCTTCTTCTGCCCCGGGATTCTGAGGACAAAGCGCAAGGGGAAGAGAACATACTCTTGGAGCTGCTGCAGCGAGGCATCGTGGATGTCTTTCAACTGCTCGCTCAGTGACTCCACGTTGGTCACAGTGGGCTCCTTGGTGAGCAGGACGCAGGCTGGGCGCAGATAAGCGAAGGCAATCTTCGGATCATTAATCTGAGACATGGCTGGAGGCATCACAGCAAGGGCCACTTCTGTAAGCACAGGGAGCTGATGTAACACTTTCTCTACTGTTCACTTTAATGAATGTGTTCTTCAGGTTAAAGTCTCACTGATACGATAAAATCACATATATAATTTAAAAAGATGAACTACTGTGCTTTCATAAAAGCTTTTGATAATAAATAATTCTCAGAAACTACTATAAACCCCTTTGTGCTGTTTTCATCAAACTGGCGTCATCTTGTGATGTAATGAGAGTAAGTCAAACCAAAGGTTGAATACACAGAAGTGGAGGAAGTTGTGAGCGATTTATCTGCTGTTTTGGAGGAAGAAGCCCGTTGGACTGATGAAGAAGAGAAAGCTGGTTCTATTGAAGGACTGCAACACATTTATTTGAGCCATATAGTTCATAAAGAGAGAATGACTTCAACGTTTCTTGAGAGGAAGAGTCAGACAGTGAAGGGTTGGATCTGGACATCTGTCCAATGGTAATAAACAGATCTATGTATATGATAATTACTCATCTTTAATTCTGGTTTATTTCCCATAATCCAAATATTTTAAAGTATCTGGTTCAAGTTCTGCGGGTGGCATTCAGAAATCAGAATTCTTATTCCTCCAATTTATAATCTTGACTTTGATTTTTCAACTTCTGATAACGGTATAGCATTAGAAGCAGATGTTATATTCTTGCTATACTGTATTCTTGTGCGGTATGGAGGAATTATTCAGTCGACGTCACGCTGCATGTTTACTGTGCTTGCTGCCTGCAGAAAGCAAGCAAGCATATTAATAGAACTACAAAAGTCAAACTTAAAAATGTCCATGTTTTTCTATAAAATGTATAGAATTTTATTTTATTTTTTTCATCTGTAATGGCCCCATCATGCCATCGTAGGGACAAATGACATCCATCCTCTTTAGCTACTGAGAATACAGGCATTGATGCTGATTGTAATGAATGCATTATCTTATATTTCTCTGCTCTTAAATCTTAACTGGCTTTAAACAGAAAAAGACTTAGTAAATTTGGTTATATTATTATATTGCATGATCTAGTATCATAATAAACGCTTTACTAACACTAGTAAAATAGTGTTAGTAAAACGTGATGTCGCACCTGTGTTTAAACTAGGCTAACAGCTTCAATGCTAAAGAGACACAGTGGAAAATAACAGCCTACCTTCATTCCAGCAACAGTAAGGCCTTCCCGTTGAGACGTCACTGAGAAAACTAAACTACTTTATTTAAAAAAATATATCAATAAACATCTCGACCGGACGAAGTTACCGCTGTACTCGATGAAGTTTCCGTCGTAATTCTGCGTCAGTGACGCACATTTGTGACGGTAAGTGAAGATTTCCGGTCCTATCAGAATAAGACTTTCCAGTACAAACATAGATATAATAAAGAAAAATATATTTACTAACTCTTTATTACGTCTATGTTACAAACTACTACAACAGAATATAATAGAAAAATGTATGCAGTATATATTATTAGAATAGAATTATATTTAAAACATTGATTTAAAAACAGATTTCTGATTATTGATTTACCTTATGTTTTCATTTAGATTTGAGAATACAATAACTCATTTCCAACCAGTCATCCTTTGACTTCCAGGAGGAACCAAACTTGTCTCCCTGGACAGACGCTCCATCTACTCCAATGTTACTCCCATCACTATTATGCAAATCACACCCCAAAATAAATGAGTTTTCCTAAATGTATTTCTTAGGCTAATTCTGATCCCCTTATTTAGGCAGCTAATTCACTACTGCAGAGGAGGCCTAGTCCAGTTACCCATGTATTTAATATTTGGACTATACTGCTTAATTGACCTCTGACCCATTCAGTTTGGAGTTCTTTGCATGTTAGTTTATTGATAAAACACAAATTCACAATTAGATATTGATGAAACTATGCTCATTGTACCTCCACGAAAAATGTAAACAAGAAGCTAATTTAAAACAAATGTCTTCTAAAGGCACTTCCCAAGATACACAGGTCCAGTTCAGACCCAATCAATATAATTATTCCGATTGGTAATACTGTTGTTTTGCAGCAAATGCTTCTGAGCTCTAATCCTGACCTGAGCTCCTTCTCTTTCTGTTTGCATGGGTTCTCTCCAAAAAGTCAAAAAATATGACTGTGTTAATTGGTCTGTAGTGTGTGTATGCTTGACTGTTTGTCCTGAGTTTATGTGTTTTGTCCTGTTCAGGATGTACTCTGCCTCTTGTCTAATGACCGCTAGTTTTATTTTATTTAAAATTAAAGAGCTTTAATAATAAATCTCACATTTGAAATAGAACAGGTCTATGTGTCAACTGTTTAAAAGCAGTTAGCTCAATTTTTACTTTTCCAGTGGCTGTAACTGTCTAGGGAACAAGAAGGCTTTGTTTTATTGTGAAAGAATAGCAGTTTGAACGGAAGTCCAGCCTTTGCTAATTTTTCCTAAGCTGACCCCGGTCTGTCCTGTCTAGAGCTTTTTTCCCTGGCTGGTGTTTCTTAAAACAACCACCATGTTGCTGTTACTTTTACCAGAGCCAGCGCTGATGACAGAGAAGCCGACTACTTACTGAGGTAATAAATGAATAAATGTGCTTTATAGCCAGTATTGGTCCAGTCTAACCGGAAACACGGCTAGCAGCTAAAGCAATATCTCAATTGGTTTCAGTCTCTAGTCTACAACAGTAAAAACGTTTGACTGCAGCTTCCTTTATGGCACAATAAGTGAGCTTATTTTATTAACAAAGTCAGAACACAAAGCATGTCTCCTTACATGAGACTAACCAGACCCCTCTGTGTCCTTTTTACTGACAGTGAAAAGATGTAAATCTGGAAGACATACACCTTTTTGATGTACATCTTCACACACCTTTTACCACGGAGGGGAATGTTATAATGTTCTAAACCAAAATTGTGGAATTTGTTTCAGGTTTGGGTAAAAAGGGAAATAGAAAACAAGAAAATGGAAAAATATTTCTTCTTCCAGACTTTATTCGCTTTGTGTTTCATTGTGAAAATAATAAAGATCTGATCATAAGATGCTCCAACCATCTGAAGTTTTTAGAAGAAATGAAGTGGATAAAAGTGTTTAATCTGACGATCCATCCATCCATCCATCCAAGGGCAGGCAATATGGACTTATTATCACAATATTTTGTTGCACTGTTGTGATAACGATACAAATGAAAAACTATTACATCATTTTCAAGGATATAGCAGTCATAGCTCCACAAATACCGCTATCGAAAAGCTTCAATTTTAAACAGTGATTTGTGTCACTAAACTTCACACAGTAACTATAATCATTTTATCAAATTTACTGATATTTGACAAAATACAGTTGAGAAAACAGTAAAAATAACATTTTCAATAATGTCAGTTTTGTTTTTAACAACATTAATGTAAATGTCAAGACACATCAAAATTCTTATAAGAAATGTTCCCAATACATGATAAACGATACGATAAATCGCCACCCTGCATCTTTCTCGTGATCCTGTCTAAATCATCTCTAAACCTCCATCCTCTTCTGCAGTCAGCACCGTTTGATGCTGACCTCTCCTGTCCGTCCCGGTGCCAAGCGGTCGGCATGGATGAAGCGACCCTGGAGGCCGCCATCGCCGCCTATGGCGCTCAGCTGCAGCAGGTGGAGACGGCCCTGTCCGCGGGCCTGGACCCCAGCCAGCAGCCGGACCTGCTCAAACTGAAGGAAGACCTGTGCCAGCTGATAGAACTCACAGAGGCCAGCCTGGTGTCCGTCAAAAAGAGCCGGCTGCTGGCCAGCTTGGAGGACAGTAACGAGCCGCACGGGAACACCTGCGAGGCGGCGGCCGACACCAGCAGGGCCGACGAGAGCCTGAGCGCAGAGTTTGCCGCTTTTTACTCAGAACTGGGAGAGTGTTCAGGCAGTGGCTCCGACTCCAGAGAGAAGGACGAGGAAGGCAGAGAGGGAGACGGAGAAGAGGAGGAAGACGAGGAGGGAGAGGACGCGCTTAGCGGTACCAAGGTGAGAGCCCCCTACAGGACATCCTGGGGGACGCTGGAGTACCACAACGCCATGGTGGTGGGGGCAGAGCCGCCGGACGGAGAGGAGGCTCAGGTCCGAGTGCTTTTCGTCCACCCCACCCAGAAATCCATGAAGCCGTGTCCCTACTACCTGGAGGACAAATGTCGCTTTCAGGAGAACTGCAGGTAAAACCTTTCCTGACCCGTTTTAAAGTTAATTTTATGTGAACTAATTTTCTTAATTCTCCCATTTTGAATAAAACTGGACTTCTGAAACTCAGAAATTTCCAAGTTTTTTCTAGAAAATTTCCGAGATTAATCTCAAAATTGCTGATTCTTTTCTAGCAAATTCTCAGCTTTTCAAACTGGAAATTTCCATGTTTTATTTATTTATTTTTTAATTCAGATTTATCTAAAAAAATTTAGAGTTTTTTGGCCACAAATTACTCCCTTTTTTCTATCTAAAATGGCCATAATACTCTATCAAACTATTCAGCCCTTTCATTTACCACAAGCCCATGGGACAAGATTAGACCAAAAATATTTTATTTGCCTAAAATTCAGACCAAAATTATTCACATCCCTGGACGAATTGGATTTAAGCTGATTTTCATCTGATGAGATGGGCATTTCTGAAAGGATAATAAAAATAATTATAAAAAGATTACTTTAATCTGCCTGTAGATAAATGCTGTGTGACATTCCGCCCTGCTCCCTAAATATGAGTTTGACCAGGAGCCTCAGTGGATTAGTTTTTCTATAACCTCCATTTCTCCGGTGTTTTCTGATGAAGGTTTTCCCATGGAGAGGTGGTGTATGTGTCCGAGCTCCGGGAGTTCTTGGACTGCGACCTCAGTAACCTTGAAGAAGGTTCTGCCTGCTTGGCTCGACATGAGGACGGCATCTGGTACCCGGCCAGGATAAAAGGTAATTCTGAGCTGTTGATACATAATTAAAACAAAACAAAAAGAACAAACACTTGACTCTTGGACTCCTTTGTGTCGCTTTGTCCTTTTAAATCCTGAAGCTGCACTGGGATTTGTGTTTTTCACTACAGTGACGATTAACTAGTGATGATGTCACGTTCAACAGATTCTAGACATTTCAAAGTAAATGGACTAATGAAATGAGTGCAATAACGTGGCATTTTATTATAATACATAGGTTTTGTGCTTTTCTACCACACAACCACAAATATTTCGATAGAATTTTTCTAAAAACTTACCAAATGTTTTGAGAAGCAGCCCAAATTTTAACAACCCGCCCCAGAGTTGTGTTTTCCAGCCGAACATGTTCAACAGGAGCTCAGTCTGGCAACACAGGGTGTGAGTGTGATTGACACTTCTAAGACCCGCCTCCTGGCTCTGATTGGTTGTTTCTGACCAGGACCATCTTTCTGCTGAAGGCAGTTTAACCACTAGGAGGAGCCAAAGAAGGACGATTCTTTTCACAGATTATCTGTCTAAAATTCTACCGTAACAGTTTGAACAATATGTGAAAAATAAATGTTTTATAAAAATTACATATCACATAAACCATGTTATTTCATTGACTTGTAATGTTTTCTCTCCTGTCAGAAATTGACAGTGGTTTCTTCACAGTAAAGTTCGACTCGCTGCTGATGAAAGACGCTGTCGTCGAGGCCGACGGGGTCATCCCGCCCCTCAGGGAAGACGACCCGCTCTCCTCTGACTCTGATTCAGACGACACGGGAGATGCAGATGCAGTGGGATATGCAAAAGGTTTAGAAAAGCCAATAACGTGTAGACCAAATATACTATTTAAATTGAACCTGTCAATGTTTGCTTCAACCTTTCCTTTTCTGTTATTTTTCGGCAGTTCTCGACTCTGCCACGGAATCGTCTGAAGCAGTGAGCAGTGCTAACTTCGGGGGCTGGGAGGTTCATACCAGAGGCATCGGATCCAAGCTAATGCTCAAAATGGGCTACGAGTTTGGAAAAGGTGAGAAAGACTAACACATTAAAACCAGAAGATTCATTAATCAGACTTTATTAATTGAAATATATGTATTTCTGTTCTGTAAATTTGAACATGTCGGAACACTGACAGCATTGTTATTACATATATACCTTTTTCCAAAATTAATATCAATTGAGAATAATTTGCTTGAATTTAACTTGTAGTAAAAATTTAGCAGCTCATTGAAGTTCTACTTTTTAAGACGTTTTGTGTGACTTGATTCAAAGTTTTTCTGTAGACCTGAGGGGAACATTCCAGCGTGCAGCTGGGATCCCAGAAACAAAAGATTCATCAGTGCAAACATATAGAGATGGGCTTCATCTGCAAAAAGCATTGA